GATCATCTTCTCCTCTATCCTGTCTTCCATCTGTGGGAGTCACTGCAGTGAATGAAGCATTTTGCTTTTGTGTAATCTGTATTTTTAAGTATGTAAAATCAGAAGTCTATGAGATTTGGCTCAATGAATCGATGTTTCACCATAGCATAAAAATGTCTCTCAGCAGACTCACAGCCAGTTGGAATTACTGCAATCCTGGTGAGCTCTTGCTAATGAGACAGGCATCTGCAGCCACCCAGCTGCCAAGTACAAATTCCAGGTATCTTACAGAGGAGGAGGATTCTCATTTGGAAAAAATCAAAGTGAAAAAAAACCCAAATGGAGTGCTCAGGAATTCCTCCTGGAAACCCCCACCGAGTTCATCATCTGCTACTCGGGATCTAAACTGTTTTTCCTTCTCTTTGTCCTCTGGAATATTTTTCAGGGAGTTCTGAAATGCTGATGTATATTTATCATCGTTTCATAATCCTGTCCTGTTTTGTGATTCCCCCTTCAAAGTTCTTCCTGCAAAGTTCCTTTCCCAAACAATTTGGATCCTTTCTGTTTGACAAACAGTGTGTTGACTTTTCTTCTTCCTTGCAACACATTTTAATAGGACTAAAATAAGCAGAGATGCCCTTGGCTCACTTTTCTGCAGTGCTAGCAGGAGCATGTATAGTTTCAAGAATATTAAGTATTCCTTGCTTTTCTCTTTTTTTTTTTTTGTGCAGAGCAAGAAAAAGAAATGGCTCCTGTACCATGAGACTTAAATGGGAAATTCAGGTGTACAAAGTTTCAAATTCCAAGTGATTAATCTAGACTCACTATCACTGGAAATAACCAGATCCTAAACCCAAAACCTTATATTTCTAGAACTTACTGTGTTTTTCAGTAAAATGAAGGGGAAAAAAAAAATCTCTGTTGCTTTTTTCCATTTGAGTCTTGGGTTTTGATTTAAACTCTTAGCCTGTCTGTAAGAAAATAATCTACAGGTGTTTAAGGCAAATTCTTGTGAGAGGAGGGCTAAGAAGAAACCTGTTGGAGAAAATTGGTTGTGGTGTGGAATTTCTTGTCCTTTTTGATATAGGATGTGGTGCCTGGGAACATTATTTAGTGGTGGCTTTGGCAGTGCTGGGTCGATGGTTGGACTTCATGATCTTAGAGGTCTTTTCCAACCACAATAATTCTGTGATGGTTTGAGCCAGAACAGATTAAAGGACTGTAAATAAATACAAGCTTTCTGGTCAGAATATGAATGTGGTATTTTTAGTGGTGATTGTTCCTACAGTATTTTCCCAAAACGGGTAATTGAGTGTAGTGGTTTTGGTTTGTTAATTGGAGATTTCATTAATTTTTAGATTTCTTAATTAATGCATTAATTAGTATGTTGGGCTTGGTGTTGGTTAATTACTAATGTACTTATTTTTTGTTGTGAGATAGGATTAGGAGAAAGGTAAAGTAGGTTTAAAATTTTAAAGGGATATAAAGAAAAATTTATTAATAGTAACTAAGAGAAATAAGAATTAAAACAAAAGCAGGATGTTGCCAGTACAGATGTTTATTCTACATCCAACAGAGGCAGCTGGACATCCTGGAATGGGGCAATTGGCTGAGCCTAAAACTTTGGTTCATCTTGGTTTAGTTGCCCTTTAAAGGGTGAGAGGAGACCAGAACTGCTCATGTTCATTTATGCTCTCAGGAGGAATAATCTGGTGGGATCTCCAAGGTTTCTGATTTCCAACTGTCCTGGCTTTGTTCTTCTCCCACTTTTGGGGTGTCTGAGAGAGGAACTGCCGGGACCTCTCAGGCTTCACAAGCAGCTCTGCTTTGCTGGGCAGATGTTTTTAGCAAAATGTATTTTTCCTATAGAAAAGACAAGCTAAATGCAAATGCAAGGACAAAAATACTGGGCAACACAATATAAATCTGCTTAAAAAGTATGGCTTGGATGGGATTTGGAAGGGGTTGGATGGGAATTTTCTGGAGCAGTGGAATCCTTGTGGCGTCCTCTGACATGAGCGATGTGGTCTTAGCTTTGGAGAGAGATTTTCAGCTTTTGTAACCAACTGCTGGCACTGCAGATGGATTCTGTGGCAAATCCAGAATTGTGAGATTGAATTTTGTTTTATTAAAACTGCCAACTTTCCTCATCTGTGCTCTGGGCCAATTTGGTTTTGCTGCTCCCTTGTCTGTCTCCATCCAGGATTCTGCTGCGATCTGTGCCACAGGTCAGAGAGGATGGATGTTTTCATTAACTGCAGGGACAGGCAGCTCCAAACTCAAACAAAATATCAATTCCTGAGGAGGATGTTCCTTGTGTCCAGTGTACCCATGCTGAAGAACATTCTTCCAGCAGAAATAAACAGTTCTTCACAAAGAAAATGGAATTATTTGCAAGGGCTCTTAAACAGAGAATGACTTTCTGCCAGCCTTGCACGTGATTTTCATTTTAGAGCTGTGGAATGGTTTGGATTGGAAGGGTCTCAAAGATGGTCATGGGCAGGGAGCCTTTCACTAAAATTTATATTTTCCGGGCCCTTAGCAACCTTGTCTAGTGTTCCTACATCTCAGAGCCTTTTTAAGAGCTTTGGCTAAAATACAGTTTAGTTGGTGGGGGGTTTTTTTTGTTTGTTTGTTTTGGTTTTGGTTTTTTTGGGTTTTTTTTGTGAAAAGTTGATTTAAGACACAGTTAAAAGGTTTGAGAGTAGAATATTAATGTAATAACATGAGAAAGGATTTCTCTTTCTGTAGCTACCATGCAGCATGAAACATGGAATACAAAGAGTTTTATGCTTTGGAAGAAGCTGTTTTGAGGGAACATTTGTGGAGGGCTGTAGCTTCTTCAGGAGGGGCAGCTCTGATCTCTGCTCTCTGTGATAGGAACAGATCCTGAGGGACTTTATTTCAGTTATGTGCAGGTACTTTAAAAGTACCTTGTCAGGGGAGGTTGAGGTTGGATATCAGGAAAAGGTTCTTGCTGTTCTTTCTGGGATTTTTATCCTCTCAAAGGGAGAAGGAGAAGATGGCATTGATTCTTGAATAGAAATTTGGAGTGACATCAAAAAGCTTTGAGCTATGTTCAGTTTCACAAAGTTTTCAGCAGTTTTGTTGCTATCACAAACTTAATTGATTCCAATAAAAAGAATCTTATTACATGATGTTAGATGTTAAAATAATTGATAGAGGGAAATAGGGTTATGGGGCCTTTTCTTGTTGTATTGGTATATATTTGAAAACTGACTGTTGGAAGACCTGGATAGATTTGTGATGGATTTCTGTGTCCTTGTGACCTCCCTTATCTTTGGCAGGTAGGTTACAGGAACTACAACACGGCACAAGTTGCACTGATTCCCAAGACTAAAGTTAGGATTTTTTTCCTTATAGCTCTTCATAAATTAAAAATCAAGAAATATTTCAGATGTTACATTGTGCCTGTATTAATGACTCTCTGGCAATGTGATAACCAATAGAGCCCTTTGCCTGAAAAGGGAAAAGAAAAGCTCTGAAGGTGTGGGAATCAGAAAAATAGAAACTTCCACAGACATGGAAGGGTTTGATTTGCAGCCTTGGAAGAAGCTTGGATTGATGTAAAAATACAATACACAGATATTAAGCAGAAAAATCATAAACTTACATTTCTATAGTTGTAAGTAAAAATATACCTTAAATGAGTGAGAAACTGTATTGATAAAATGATGAAGAGTTTATAATGTAGGGGTGTGGTTGTATAGAATAAGTTAAGCATCTAGAAGTTGTAATAGAAGTATATTTGTGCATGTGAGAGAGAAGCCATTGGACAAAAGTATCTCTAGTGCAGCAGAAGTGAGCAAAGGTGTGTGGCAGGCACATTCTTCTTTCTTTCAGGATTTTTCATAGAGGAGCACAGAGGATAGAAAGAGAAAACAATTTCTGTTTCTGCTCCTTGTTTTTCCCATGTGGAATGTGGTTGGAGAATTGTTTATATGGGGTGATTGCTTGGTTGGGTTCTGGTGAGGATTGTTTGAGCCTGATGGCCAATCCAACCCACCTGGGGCTGGACTCTCAGAGAGGGTCACAGGTTGTGAGTGAGTTAGAGATGGTAGTTAGAAAAAGTAGGTTTGTATTTTTAGTATCTCCTTTAAATAGTACATTAATGTATTATAGCATAGTTATAATAAAGAAATCATTCAGCCTTCTGAACTGGAGTCAGACATCATCATTTCTTCCCACCATGTTCGCCTGCATTTACAATAAAGGTGATAGGTTAGAAAAGCAAAATAAAACCTGTAGCAACTGTCCATTGGTTTAGAAAGTTCCATATTGCCTTGTAACAAAGAACTTGTGACTGCTCTTGAGCTATGTCCACCTGCTTGCTCCTTTAAAATCTCACAGCCTCTGAGACTGTTGTTTATCTGAGCAATGAATTGTTCTCAGATTGAAAATAGTCCCATCCCTTCATTACAAGCGGTGACGACAATAATATGAAGGGTTTGAAAACTGGCAGAGTAATAAACCAGAGTACTGACAGCAAATGATTTCAAACCTGTTTTTATAACAGAGGGAGCTGTCCTGTGTCCCTCCCCTTTCATCCTTAGACTGCTCTCACAACTTTGGTCGTTACTGATTAAGGGTCCAAGTCGTGTCACACTGTGGTTTGTTGGAGTTGGGTGGTGGGAGGAGGAATGTTTTGAAAGGTTTCATTTTGGATTTTGTGTGTGTTTTTCTTTCTTTTTCCTTTCATAGTAGTAGTTTAATAAAGTTTTTTTTTTCCCTTTTGTTATTAAGCTTGGCCTGCTTTGCTCTGTTCTCGATCGCATTTCACAGCATTCAGTTGAGAGGTTGCATTTTCATGGGGACGCTGGCATTGTGCCAATGTCAAACCATGACAACAGGGGAGGTTCTTGCACAATTTAGGTGGGTTTGCCTCATTGTCTGCATGAGAGGACAAAGCCTTGAAGTTTGTCCTTGTTTTATTTTCTCACAGCGCATTGATCTCTACTGAATATACTCCATATAACTTTTTGCCATCTTGGTGTCCTCAGGACTTTATCCAGCAGCGATGACGTGGAGGACCGGGAGAACGAGAAGGGGCGGCTGGAGGAGGCGTACGAGAAGTGCGACCGCGACCTGGACGAGCTGATCGTGCAGCACTACACGGAGCTGACCACGGCCATCCGCACCTACCAGAGCATCACCGAGCGCATCACCAACTCCCGCAACAAGATCAAGCAGGTGGGAGCCAGCCCTGAGCATTCCTGCCTTTGTGATGTGGGAAATGCATTGGTAAAGGGTTAATAATACCTTGCGTCTTGGTTTGGAAAGGCAGGTGTGTGCTAAGCAAGGCAGGAGCCTCCCCTGATGTGGGAGTCCAGGGCATCCCTCTGGCTGCCCTGGGACCCTGGCAGGGGGTCAGAAACCCCCCTGGACAGAGCCCCCAGAGACACTGTCTGTGATCTCTGTCCATGGAAAAGAGTTTTCAATCTTACAGGATGAATTACAAGCTCTGAGTGTTTGATATAAGTAATAATTAAGTGTGGCACGGGTGCAAAGGTAAAATTTTAGGATTCTAGATAAGGGGTGCAAAAGGGACAAGATGGAGGAAATTGAGTGTGTCTGTCCTTTTTCTCCTTCTTCATGCCCTCCATGTTTCACTGTGGTGTTGGCATTTTTCTGTTGGTTCAGGCTGGGGACACACTGTCCAACGTAGGTGACAGATATTGGCACGTTATTGTAAATCCAGCACAGGTAGTTTGTGGTATTTAATGTTTGTACCATCCCACTGGGGGCAGAGCCCCACACGCTGCCCTGCAGGACAGAGCTGCGGCAGGGCAGCAGAACATGTTAGAGATAAACAGAATAAACAACCTTGAAACAGCACAGACCAATTATGGCTTCTTCTTTGGCAGTGGGGCTGAAAGGCAGAGACTTTCTACAATCTCGGGATCATCAATACCACAGATTCCAACACCCTGAAATGGAAAATGTAAACCCCCTCCTCTGAATTGTTATAATTTTGAAATTAAGTGGCTCTCGGGTGAAGATATGAGAATAGGAATAACAGTTTTTTGCTAGGAAAATTAAAAATAAAAATGCAATAGTACAAACAAAACCACTGCCAGAGTCAGCAATGCCCTGAGCCCCTGTGGGTCAGGGAGGTGGCAGCAGTCCCATCCCAGGGTGGCTCAGCCCTCCTGCAGTGCCAGCTGTGCTTCTGCTGGAGCAGGATCCTGCACAAGGGGGGAGTTTTCCTCTGGAGCTCCAGGGCTGGGGGAGATGGGCCTGGGCTCCCTCTGGGAATGCAGTGGGGAAGAAAGCTGCTCCTCTGGGAATGCAGTGGGGAAAAAATCTGCTCCTCTGGGAATGCAGTGGGAAGAAAGCTGCTCCTCTGGGAATGCAGTGGGCGAAGGCTGCTGTGCTATTCCCAGGTCAGATTGTATCCAGGTAGGAATGCTCAGCTCCTCCCCTGGGCAGGGCATTGTCGCCCTGATTCTTGAGTTTTTCTAAAGCTTTCTGAGTTTACATTCTATTGGGAAACTTTGCCACACAGTTTCTGTAAATAACGTGTTGTTTTGCATTCCTTCATGGGGGTGGAGAGACTTGATGTACTAGTGGTTTGTCCAATGTCTTTGGAGAGGTGGCCCATTCACTCTCCAATCCACTGTCACCTTTGGAAAAGTATAAAAGTTGGAGTCATAAAATAAAATTTCTCTTTTACCTTGCAAAGTAGCAGGTAGCTCGCGTTGTGCTTTCTCGTGTCCTATAGCAAGAGAGCATCTCCCCATGGATGATGGAATTTTCTCAGCCATGCAGGGACACTCAGTGGCCATGGGCAGAAGAGATCTCCTGGAGGGAGGATGGGCTGTGGGAGAGATAAAGAAAACTGCTCAATGAACAGAAGATACTGTTAAGAAGATAATCCATCTCTAAAAGATAGCAAATGGAGTACACACCCCCACTAACATCTTTCAACCTAAGGCAGATTGTTGTAGTGACAATATTAGTGGTAGTGCCTTGTGTGCTTCACTGTACACACAAACAATAAACAAAGCCATCACAGAAGTGTTTTCTGTTCCAGAGAGAGGGGGAAATGTGGGAAATGGATTTGTAGAGAATTCTCAAAGCCTGACAGAAAGCTCACACAGTGTTCATCTGTGTGCAAACCTGGAGATGAGAAATGCTGGCTGAGAGATGCCCTGGAATGGGACAGACACTGCTGGGAGAGAAATGGAACTAGAGACAAGTTTCAAAGGGTGGCCTTACAAATCAGACTGGGTCCTTTGGAGAAATAGAACTGTGAAAGATGCACTGTAGCAGGACCCACGAGGGGGGATTTTAGGTGATTGGCTTTAAGGCATTGACAGCATGGTGTGGCTAAAGCTGACAGACCAAGAAACACTTGTAATGTGTTGTAATTAAGAAATAATTGGCTTCTGATTGTGATGGTGTGAATTATAACATCTGTATTGTCTCACCCTTCACATGAGGCTGAAAATGGAATAAAAGTTTTTAAAACACCTCTCAGCTGCCCCATCTCTGGGTCAGAAAAGGGCTTAATCTGACATGTGTCAGCTCCACGGACTGCGCTCCACCTGCAAATCTCCTTTTTTTTCCTGGCTGCTGTTGTTCTACTGGTGGTTTTGCTCCCCGTAACTGCCAGTGATGGAAGCTCCTACTTTTAAGCTTTTGATTCTTCCTCTGTTTTTCCAGCTTCTCAGCATCATTTAAAATGGAATTAAAATTGAGTTGAGAAAGTGCTGTTACCTCTAAATTCCCACCTGGAACAGGTCTAGAGGGGTCCCCAGAGCTGCTCCAGGGCTGGAGCCCCTCTGCTCTGGAGCCAGGCTGGGAGAGCTGGGAATGTTCCTCTGGAGAGGAGAAGGATGCAGGGAGAGCTTCCAGCACATTCCAGGGCCTGAAGGGGCTCCAGGAGAGCTGCAGAGGGACTGGGGACAAGGCCTGCAGGGACAGGACACAGGGAATGGCTCCCACTGCCAGAGGGCAGCCATGGATGGGATCTTAGGAATGAGGAATTCCTGGCTGGGCTGGGATTGCCAGAGCAGCTGGGGCTGCCCCTGGATCCCTGGAATGTCCAAGGAAAGGCTGGAGCAGCCTGGGACAGTGGGAGGTGTCCCTGCCATGGCAGGGGTTGAAAGATGATTTTTAAGTTCTCTTCAACCCCACATCTTGGCTTGACCCTAAATTTAAGCAAGGCCTGAATACCAGTGACTCTGTGTCACTACAGACCACCCAGTCCTACCATTGTCCCAAGCTGTGTCTTACTGGCAACATTTTCTGTAGGATCTCCCTGAGAGCAGAAGTTGTTAAAAGTCAAACTGAGAGGTGGTTGTGAAGCAGAAAGCTCTGCAGTGCCCCTGTTCATTTATTGTCTGGGCATGTTGCTCTCAGGTTTTTGAAGTCTCCAGGGCTGCTGAGCTCACACCTTTCCATCTCATCTTTTCATCTTTTGCTATCTTGGCCTTCAAGCACTTCCTGAATAGTCTGGGTGATTCATCATCTTGCTTTTTGCTCACAGAATATGAATTTTGATGCTATTTCCAAGCTCAGCTGTGTTGTGTGAACATGAGCTCTGTGCCCCTGAATCTTTCTGCATTTTGAGTGCTCACACTTTAGGGTATGGTGCCAGTAAATAACTCTGGCACTCGTGGCTGGGGACTTGTTTGAGCTGCTCTGTCCCTGCAGCAGCAGATGAGTTCTTTGGGTTCCTATCTTGCACTTCCTCTGCAGTTTGCTGTACCTAAACTTTGCACAACAGGCACCTGATTTTTCTTACTTTATTTTTTTTTTTCCTGGCTCTGTGGAAGTCTCATCTTAAAACCTTTCCCAGAAGTGCTTTAGGAGCAGCAAATTTTTACCCTTGTGGGGGTTACATACTGACCCTTCTGGCTTTGAAAATTCATTTAACATTTTCAAAGAAAATGAGACCATTCTGCTGCTTTCCAAGGGTAAGAGTTCATTTCAGGATTTATGGACAAAGCTCAGCACTCTGAAAGCAGGGATCAATTCCACTAAATTTGAAATCAACTGTAGGCAGTGGCCTGGTTTCACACAGTGTGCAAAGCTTTGCAGAGGTCAACGCAAGCAGAGAGTGGTGTGACCTTTGGGTCCCACCTAGAAGAATGACTGTGAGGGTGAGGGACCTTCTGGTATTTAAGTTGGCTTATTAGTTTTGGTCAATATATATTGAAGTGGTTTTGACCTAATCTCACAGGATGACAAACCCAGATCTGGTTTGTCATCAATCTGTGTTACACTCCCAGGCTTTCTCTTCATGTTCCCCTCTGTGCAAGGGAATTGTACAAGTGACAGATATTCCAGATCCTTCTGTGGATCTGCCTTTTGGCAGATCTCTCCATCTGAGAGAATGGAGAAGGAAAACTCTTGGTGTTGCCTAAATGGACTCCTGGTAGGAAAGGTTTAGTTTTGGGTTTAGCTACAGAGGTGTTGCCTCTCTAAAACTGAATTATGAAGCAGAACCGATTTGGGCTCCCAAGGGGAGGTTTTTTTTTTTTAAGATCTGCTGTTCATTCCTTGCCCTGCTCACAGATGTGGATGGAGAGCTTTGTTACAAGGACAGGAGCAGGAATGTCTGGTGAGATTCCTTCTGGCCCCATAATTGTTTTGCTGGCCTAATTTGGCTCTCTGTAGCTGCAGTCCACTGATGAAGCTGTGCCAGGTCAGTGAAACATTTCCAATTAATGCATTGAACAGGGATTAGATGTGAAGTGATCGCTGTGTGTGTTTTAGTTTGCCTCTGCTTTTTAGGACACTCATAGATGAGGGGTTTTTTTGTTGGCTGAGGATTTTTCCATGCTTCTCTTTTCAGAAGGACATTTGGGAGTTGCAGTATTGAAATCTCAAACTGCCCTGCCTCTGGAGAGAGGCTGTTTTATGGAGCTGTTGTTATTTACCAGTGTCCAGTATTGGTCCACTGATGTGTTTTTCACATAGATTTTTTTTTTAACTGCCTTCAGGTGAACAAGGCAGGAGAAAGTGCAGCTGAAGTGGGATTTGTGGAGTGCTTTAAAGGCTCATTATTTAAAAATAAATTGAAAGGCTCCTTCTGAGTGTCTCTCTTCATGTGTAATTCAGTGAGAGTTCAGCCTGAGAAAAGGTTGGGCCCCAAGTATTCATAACTTATCACAAAACAAGAGTGGTGTGAAGGCAATGTGTGAAGCTGTGCTGCTAATTGCTTCCACATTTTAGTATGGATTGTTGATTTGCATTAAGCAGGAAAAGCTAGGTTACACTGACCTTACCAGGGAGAATCTGAAAGCAGGGAATGCTCTGAGTTGAGAGAATGGAGAAGGAAAACTCTTGGTGTTGCCTAAATGTAGAAAAATCAGAGATTTATCAGAGATTTTGCCACTTGGATGATGGTATGAGGGTTAAACCAAACTGCATGGCAGCAGTAAAGGGTTTGTAATGGCTTGATAAATAATGGAAATGCTGATCTGAACTCATAAATGTTCTGATTAAATCTTCTCTTCCAAAAAAAAATTGGTATTGCTCAACTTATTGAGAAAATGGTTTTACTCTTAGCTGGTCTTTTTTCAGAGCAAAACCACCAAACTTGAAGAAAGGAGGAGACTGCGAAAAGATTTAATAGGCAGATGGAAAATGTTTGCAGCAGGAAAATTAGCGGTGGCTTATTTGCTTCCACAGAAAATTTGATTCTTGCTGTTTGCCAAAATACTGAATTGGCCCTTGGGAAATGGCCTTGGTTGTGGTTAGCAGGATCTGGTGTTTTATTGCATTGTGGTACTTCAGTGAAATTTTCACTAGTGGTACAAAACTTGCAATAAAGACCATTTCACCGTGAGAGAAATTCAGTTTTTAGGGTCTGTAAAGTTCTCCTCAGCCAAGGCAGCACAAAGGAAATTGGATTTAATTTTACCCTGGTGATATTTTTGGAATTCCTAATCAAGCAGCCATGGGGAAGGGCTGCTCTCAGTTGCAGGGCCAGATGTCATTAACCCTTGCTGTGCTGCTGCAGGTGAAGGAGAACCTGCTGTCCTGCAAGATGCTGCTGCACTGCAAACGGGACGAGCTGCGCAAGCTGTGGATCGAGGGCATCGAGCACAAGCACGTCCTGAACCTCCTGGATGAGATTGAGAACATCAAGCAGGTCCCTCAGAAACTGGAGCAGTGCATGGCCAGCAAGCGCTACCTCAACGCCACCGACATGCTGGTACTCCTTTTTTGCCTCCCTTTTATCCCTCTTTTATCCCCCTTCCCCTCCCATCTCCTTTTGCATTCTCATGCTTTATTTCACAATTAAATTTCCCAGACACCTGCCTGGATCATCATCTTTCTTAAAATCTTGCCAATTATTTCAAACCCGTTTTTATAACAGAAGGAGCTGTCCTGTGTCCCTCCTCTTTCATCCCCAGACTGCTCTCACAAATTTGGTCATTATCCACAGGGGAGGTTCTTGCACAGTTTAGGTGGGTTTGCCTCATTTTTCTGCATGAGAGGACAAAGCCTTAAGGTTTAGGTTGGGCATTAGGAGGAATGTCTTCACAAAAAGAGGTGGGATTGCAGTGCTTTGAGGGGTTTGGAGTCCCCACTCCTGGAGCTGTCCATGGAATTCCTGGATGTGGCACTCAGTGGTGGGGATTTGCCATAGGTTGGACTTGATCATCTCAGACATCTTTTCCAACCTAATTGGTTTTGTGACTCTGTGATTCTTTTCTCAAGCCTCTTGATCCTTTTTTCTTACTTCCAGCTCCTGGTTAATCTCTTTTTCTCCCTTTCTTCAAATGTTTTTTTCTCTTCAGTTTCATCTCTTTAATTAGCTTGCCTTTCAGTTCCAGTCTTGTCCAGGAGTTTCCTGGACATCTCTAATAACAATCTTTATTTTTCTAAACTTAACAAGCACATTTCCTGACCAGGCTCCAGCCCTTCCTTTCCTGGAACTGTCTTTAGGAATTAAAAACAACAGAGGTGATTTTTCTCTTCTCAGTCCTGACATGTGGAGTGCTCAGTCCAGTTCTGGGCTCTCCAGTAAAGACAGATGGAGTTAGTGGGTCCAGGCCAGTGGGGGATTACAGGGATGGTTAAGGAGCATCTCACACGTGGAGAGGGGCTGAGAGAATCCTCAGGGAGATGTTCTTGATGGTTATTATTGTTTCATGGGAGGGTGCAAAGGAAACAGAGCCAGACTCTCCTTTATGGAGCCCAGGGATGGGAGGAGAGGAATGGGCACAGCCTGAAACACAAGGAATAGTTTGACCCTAAAGCAGCCCTTTTTTTACTGTAGGGATGGTTGAACACTTGAAGAAGTTCAAGCTCTATAGACACACAGAGGTTTTGGAGTCTCCCTTGGTGGAAAATTTCCAAATCCAGACTGGACATGGCTCTAGGTGGCCATGCTTGGGCAGGGAAGTGGATTTGATATTCTCCATGGGTCCTTTCCATCCTGAACCACAAAAAGTAGAGGCAAAAGTTTCTTACTCTGTTTCTTACTCCTCTTTGCCAGGCAGTGCCTTTAAGGCCATCTTTTCACTGCCTTATTTTGTTGGGGTTTTTTCCACTTCACTGCCCTTTGTTGTCTCTCTTAGTTGTGCCTCTTTGCTTCTTTTTAATAAGTCATTACCCAACAAGAGAAAGAGCTGGAAATTGTCACTCTGAGCTTTAATTTCCTCCTTTTTGCTTTATCTGACTTCACCTTAAACATGACTTTATAAAACTTACCTTATTCTCTGCTGGATTTCCCACAGATGCCACTCCCATCCCATGGCCTGTGGAACCCACCTGGTTTTTGTTGTTGCTGTCACATCCTCCTGTCTGGTTTCACTCTGCCATCACCTTCCTTTTGTTTTTCTGTTCCTCCTCCTCTCCTGTGCTGCAGTCAGAGGATCATGGAATGGTTTGGGTTGGAAAAGGGACCTGAAATCTCATCCTGTGCCATGGCAGGGACTCCTTCCACTGTCCCAGGCTGCTCCAGTCCCTGTCCAGCCTGGCCTTGGACAACTCCAGAAACGGGAGAATCAAAGTGTGGTGTTTGTCTGATATTTTCAATTGTCAGATGTAAAAAAGGAGGTGTTAGTTAAGGGTGTTCAGTGTAGGAACCAAAATGTGATACTCACAGATGCCACCAGTATGAGTTGAAATATTGGTGCTATTTTCACCAGTTTGCCTGTTTTTTTTTTTTTTTTTTTTTTTTTTTTTTGTTTGTTTGTTTGTTTTGTTTGTTTTTTTCTTGTGGGTTCTTTTTTGAATTAATTTTTTTTTCAAAATGCCAGACAAGTAATCTATTTCCTATTCGAAATCTGTGTTAGGAAGTGTAAGAAGAAAAATAACCTTGCTTAAGATTTCTCATGCACTGTGCTTTAGAAATGGTTTTCAACCTGTGTATTTGATATTTATGGGTTTGCAATATTTTGTGTATGTTTATTTTAAATATAAGCACTTATGTGTATATAAATATGTGTGCTTGGGTAAAGTTGCCTGTGGCTATGAGGGAGAGACAGCATTAGATCTCTCTGATTTATAGACTTCTGCAGCATTTCTGTTGCTGCTCTTGTTGTTTTTTGTTTTCAGCATAGCAAATATTTTCTAATAAATCAAATAGTAATGGCATAAAAAGCAGCTGTTAGTTCATGGGCTTTTTTTGAATATATATCAAGGAATGCAGAGAAACCTCAAGTGGAAATTGAACATTCAATTTCAGCCACTCATTGACACTTGCAATTCTCATTTGAAGACAAATGTGCCTGTATAAAGAAATAGTAATTCACCTGCATTTGGAGCTTTTCCCTGGCCAAAAATCACTGCAGGCTCATTGGCTTTTGCCATCTTGTGTTAACACGGCTCTGCGAGGCTGTGATGTTGTAATCACTCACTGGCTGGGGATAATTCCCTTCTCCTTTGATATGATAGGAACATTATGTAAAATCATTACTGATCTGTCAGGGAGGCACAATGTCCATAGATCTGCCTGTCCTTTGGGTTCATTCCTCAAGGTAAACAGCTGCTCGTGGCTCAGGAGAAGCCCCAAGTGCTCTGACAAGGAGTTTGTAGCCCTCACCCTGCGACTGCAGCCCTGATTAATGCTGTTCCTGTAGCCTTGTGATCCATACAGTCACAATGAGACCTTTGCACCCCTTTGCTGGCTGGATGCAATCCTTCCAAAGGCATCATTCCAGCCTGCTGCATCCCATCCCTGCAGCCTGCTCTTTGTATTCCACTCACATTAATTGAAGTAATTTTGCCACTGAAGCGTGTTTCAAACCTCTGCATTTAAATTGAAATTTTAATTCCCTTATTGTTTGGAAAAGACGGCTGAGGATGGCTTGTTACAGGTTTCATTATCACTCAAAACTCTCCAGCTGCTGGTTCTAATGTGCAATGACTGAGTAATGCAGGCAGGGATTGTTAATAAAAGACTGGCAGCTTTTCCCAGTTGGATAAACACAATGCAGAGGTACTTTGTGACAGCTTACATTTGTATGAAGTTAAAATTTTTTTTTTTAAGTGACAGCTTTTTTTTCTTTCTGATTCTGTATCCAGCCAGAGCAGCACACAAATATCAGGTGTTCCCGTTGTGTGTTCCTCCAGCATCTTGATAATTCCAGGAGCACAGGCAGTAAGATCAGGTTTGCTGTCCTATAATTGCACATTACAGGGTGTCTAAAATAACCCATTTCCAGCATCCTTTGAATTGTGAAGCTTTGGAGAATTTGGGAATGTCTGGAACAGATAAAACGCCTGTTTGAGCTGGAATGCATTTTAGTTATTTTCCATTTCTTTATGTGCCTTTTTTATAGAGTGAGTTTGTATATTTGCCTGAAATGGAGCTGGTTTTTCACACACTGAATTACTGACAGCAATATTCACTTTTATGGGGCACTTGACTGCACGTGCAGCCATTTGTGGGTGATTTTTGTTTAATGTAAAACAAGAAAAGAGTTCAGGGGGGACCTCCTGGCTCTGCACAAGTCCCTGACAAGAGGGGACAGCCAGGGAGGATCAGGCTCTGCTCCCAGGGAACAGGGACAGGAGGAGGAAATGGCCTCAAGCTGGGCCAGGGGAGGATTTTGGGGAGAATTTCTTCATGGAAAGGGCAGTGCTGGTGGAGTCCCCATCCCTGGAGGGATTTAAAGCCATGTGCATGTGGCATTTAGGGACATGGACCAATGGTGGCCTTGGTGATGCTGGGAATGGTTGGACTCGATGCTCTGAGAGCTGTTTTCCAACCTAAACAATTCCACAATTCTGCCATCTGCTACTGAGGGGAAATTCTGACCCAGGAGGAGCTTCCTAAGAACAGTCTCCAGAGAGGGGAGCAGAGCAGGGGCCAGAGACACTGTCCCTTCCCACTGTCACATCAGGGACACTGAAGTCACTTCCCTGGAAGCCTGAGCTTGGCGGTGGAATGAGGAAACCTTCTCAAGCTACGTCAGGGAAGGTTTAGGTTGGATATTAAGAAAAAATTTTTCACTGAAAGAATAATAAAATACTGGAATTGTCTTCCTAGGGAGGTGGTGGAATCACCATCTCTGGATGTGTTTAAAAAAAGACTGAACATGGTGCTATAGTCTAGTTGTGGTGTTAGGGCATGGGTTGGACTTAATGATCTTAGAGGTCTCTTCCAACCTCGTTATTCTGTGATTCTGTGAATCCAAGTTCTTCCAGAGGAGAGGTTTTGGGAGTGCTCCACACCACCAGAAGCCAGAGCAGAGATCAGCAGCAGGACAGGAGATTGACCCTTTTAAGGGAACAGTTTCATGTCCAGTCTCCCCAGCACTGGGCTATGCATTGATTATGCTCTGCACAGTAATTAAGAAACTAATTAACTCAAGATTGTGGAGATCTGTGCTGTTACTTTAATTCTTCTGATTCCACTGTTGACCCATGAGGTCCTTGTGGGGAAAACTTAGTATTTGCCATTTATTTCTATAATTTAAGATCTGAAATGCTGAAAATAGTGAAGAAACATTGTTGAATGAAGTAATTTAAGGTCATGTCATATAATGAAATAAAAACTCTTTAGGCTACTTTGGTTTTGTGTCTGGATTTGCCCTTGTGGCAGGTAACAAACACTGAAACTGCAGAAATCTGTCCATGGGAGCAGAGGGAGGATCATTGCTATTTCCACCTGAATTTCTTTTTATTAGGAAGACAAGAAGGAAGAATGAAGGTGGGAAGAAGGAAGGATGGAGCCCTTTGATTATTCTTCACTTCACT